TAGATATAGATTTATAGGTATATCCGTACTTTCATATTTTGAATTATATATTTGGTATGTGCAATCGAGACCGTGTTTCGAATTTGTGTTGACGGATGGATAACATTCGGTTTTTTTGCTCAATCGTCTGCCTTTCTTTACCGGAGGGCAGTCACCCTGAATTGTGGCCAGTCCTTCACGTGGATGGCTGTGGAGGCGAATATATGGTATGTATTCTGTAAATATGTATCATACTTTTTGTGCTCTCTGAGGTCTATAGTTGTTATTGCAAGACAGTTGACAGCTCCTCCTGTCGTGGCATTTTGAACGTGTACGTTGATTGTCGGCATTATTGAAAGCCACTTACTAAAACGTGGTTTGTGTGTTTGAATTTCATGTTCAGATTAATGCCTGCGTGTACTAACTACGTTTGTTATTGTCTGTCCTAGAGGGCGGGCTAACATTTTCGCTGAGATTATTTTCACGTGTGTTGTGTGTGTCAAATTCGAACATCTCGAATGTGAGGTGTATCTGTGTCGAGTTTTCGATGCGCCTACGAATAGATGTGTGGTGTGTGCCGCGTGTGTCCATACACACTTTGCTTTTCTCAGTAGCATGGCATGAGCGTCCAGTAATTGGTATATCTTGTCTCACACTTGCGGTCGGAATTGCTGGCGAATCAAATGTGATATCCTGCAGTTGTACTCTGGCGTGTCTTTAGCGAGTGTGTAGTGTTTGTATTAATGATAGTTGAACACTGCTATGCACATGCATGTTGCATCGAGTGTGTAGTTTCTGCATTAATGATAGTTGAACGCTGCTATGCACATGTATGTTGCATCGAATGTGTAGTGTTTGTATTAATGATAGTTGAACGCTGCTATGCACATGCATGTTGCACCGAATGTGTAGTGTTTGTATTAATAATACTTGAACACTGCTATGCACATGCATGTCTCACCGAGTGTGTAGTGTCTGTATCAATGGTAGCTGAACGTTGCTATGCACATGCATGTTGCACCTGGCCGTTTTGCCCTGGAACGGAGCATTGTGGTCTGCATGACATACCAATCACTTGCCGCACCTTCTTTGCTATTGTTTTGCAAATGTATTCAGGGCAAACGTCATCGATGATCAGGTCATATCGCTGACTCAGACAGGTAGGCCTGTCCTTGCATTTGTGTGCGTGGGTTTGATATTCAGAGAGTATGGGCATTGTTTGGAAATACTTTAAAGAGTTAATGCTTATTTAATGCTCAAAATCAGTTCTTGAATTCAGACACCCGTTTCGTGACATGAGTGTACAATTGACGCGACCTTAGTGGGAGAGAAACGATAGATCCGATCACGTACCAAATACACACTCAGCTCATTCGCTTTACAAATCAGGAAGTCTCACTTCGGTTGCACGATCCAACATATATGCAGACACCTGCCGTACATGCTTAATTATGACCACCTTATATGAACTGATTTGGACGTACACAATGTTTGATGTTACATCCGTCTTATTATACTTCTCACAACTACGCAACAGACACAGACGTTCTATTCCGTGTGCACAACACCATAAATCACCGGACACCAGAATTGTCAGAGTCTTTCGCTCGGGGGACTCTACGCAGATACTTTCAACTGGATGTGTGCTTGAATGACCTCTACAAACAGTGGATGGCTGCTGATGCGTATGTAGTGCTTGTTTGTGATGTACCTGTTCGTTGTCCAATAAACCAGAGTGGTTATAACGTATGACAGATGTAGGAGGGTTTGTTCTTACAATCCTCCCCGTCAGGCAAACTCGAATTAGTGCATTGTGAAGCATGTTGCGGTGGATATCGCTGTTACTTTGGTCTACTTCTACAGACAGATATAGAGTGTGAGTATCTGTCGGCTTGAATATTATAAGTCAACACCATTTCATTTGTGCGTATGTATATAACCATGTATCACTGCGTGGGTAGAGTCTTAGTACATTATGAATATTAATATCCATGTATTAATGCGCTATTACGCATGTATCACTGCGCTTCTAACCTATGTATATATGAATGTAATTATTGATGTAGCATGTCGCTTCTAACAGCATACAATACGCATCCATCCGTAACAGTAATATACGGAAGTTCGCCAACGTCATGCCCGGCTTGAGGACCATGCGGCAAGATCCGGTGGAGAATGTGTTCTCATTCATCTGCTCGTCAAACAACAACATTGCACGCATCACCCAGATGGTCCACAATCTGAAGCGAGTCTACGGCCGCGAAATCTCACATGAGGGTCTGGGTATGTGCCAGCCTGAGTTGTAGCCTGTCATCCTTATGGGTTTATGCGCTTTTATACACATACATACATACATACATACATACCCACACACACACACACACACACACACACACACACACACAC